TATTAAACATCGTCTTTCTCGAACTTACATACATGCCCCTGACCTCTTTAAATGCATAGATATGCAATAACTACACAATTACCCCACTTTATGATGGGGTAAGTAAAATGAAAAGTTTTAACATTTCAATGATTTTGCTACTACGACATTATGAGAAAGACAAGTAAGGTAGGTACTGATGAAGGGAAATTTAATTATCTTCTTTGGTTGAATTTTCACGACTGCACATATGTAAACTTGTATAATTTTACTAAACTCTTACTCTTACCTCACTTTATCTTTAAGTTAAGCTCTGTTCCAGTGGCGTAGCCAAACCAAACGAGGCCGTCGGCGACATCCGAATTGCGAGGCCCTTTTTATGTAGGGGGGCAGTGGCGGATCCACGAGGGGGGAGGGGGATAATGGGGGAAATTACCCCCCCCCCCCCAAGAGAGGCCCAAGAAAATTTTAATTATTAAAAAAACACACAAATTATTTTTTTGGAGGCTTAAAATACGTTTTGAGCAAGCACCCGAAAAAATTTCTGCTTCCAGCCGCAACTATGAAGTGCATCGCCTACTGGGTCCTACTTTGGGTGTGAACCCCTTCAGATTGTTGGGAATCGGGAGTTGACCGATGTCACGAATGTTGAGTACCTGGGGCGCGTTCACAGTGGTTTTCCCTGGGTAAAACTTAACCAGGCTAAATATTTCACTGGTTGAAAGGATGCGCTTGGGATGACAAATCCGTGAACGACTAACGCCTGCGCCATAACGAGGTAGGATTTGATTTTGTTTTCCTTTTGTTTACATACGTTGTTTGTGTTTCGAATGTTTCGAGATGGATCCGGAAATAATATTTTTTAAAAGTACTATTGAAACTTCTTCGGATTCGTCTGATACAGAGGAAGAAGTCAGCTATGTTGTAGCACAAGCTGCATGTGCTAGCGCTAGCAGTTTATGTTCAAGCCTGAAAAAAGGCATATTGAAACACAGGATAATTTTATGGCAACAATACGCAATTATAGCGATAAGGAGTTTCAGGAAAATTTTAGGAGTTTCCAGAGAAGCTTTCAACTGGCTTCCTGGAAAACTTGAAAACCAGTTGAAGTCAGCAATGCATGGCCCAGAAAGATTACCAACAGTATTGTTTATCAAATTTCAAATATTCTTGTAAAACGCCTGCGCGACAAATTTTACCCATGTCTCAGAGTGGGTTAAAAAGTTGTACAACCGGGTAAACTTATCATGGCTCTGTGAACGGAGCAAATATTTTAACCGGGTGAATTAGGTAGATCTGTGAACGACTTAACCCTGCAAAAGACGCGCTCGGTGTGCACTCGGTGAGCGTCCGGCGTTCGACTGTGAACGCACTCCTGGAGTTTTCCGCGCGCTCCAATCTCGTACTTCGATAATTAAAACTCGGTATTGTATAAAAATGTTTCATTTATTAAAATAGGGAACTTGCACATTTTTTATTTTATTTCAAAAATGTGTTCTACTACACTAAAGACATAAACACGCCAAATATCAAACATTAAAAATCAGCCGTTTATTTTTTATAAATATTTGAAATTACGCTCGAAACATTGCCATTTGAAACGACCCGATTAGTGTGACGTCACTCGGCAACAAAATTCCGATGACAGTGACGAGCACTTCGAACTTCGAGCAGGTAGATTAGGATTATGGTTATGATTAGGATGATTATTATTGTGTATTATTATTTATTCTATATTTAATTTAATGTGCAAGTTCCCTATTCTCGTTGAGGGGGGACACTTGGTTGTTGAGAGGCAACCCCCGACTGTTCAGAGTGAAGCTCGAAATCTGAATACCTTGTCTTCAACTATCCTCCACCAAGGAAGGCAAGTTTGGACCTCCCTAAAGAAGGGTATTTCACAATTTCCTAAAATAAACTTATCCTAAGAACATATTTTATTTAGGTGCTAAAATGTTGCGAAACGTTTGTACAATCATAAACCTAAAATTAGCCTAGGGGTTGTAATTCTCGCCATCTGTATTATAAAAAAGGCCTGGGAAGGTAGTATGTCTTTGGCGGCAAGAGTACTTCCCATGGCCTATATTTGACTTAGTTTTTTGTATTTACAACAATTGGGGTTTCTGCAATAGAAGTACCGACTTTTGAGAAATTGGTGTGAACAGGACATTGGTTATATAATAATTCTAGCCGGCATCGTCTTTAAACTCTAACAGCATAAAGTATTGTTATAATAAATCTTGGGACTCAATTACACAGATGGTGGAACTTGTAGAAGAGAAAATGTAGCGAACATTAGGATTATTGATAATATAAGTAATAATAAATTCACTAGTTCACAACAAAGGTGTTATAGACCACGAGCCGCCACTGGTTGAGAAGCTCTACCCCCCCTCCCCCAGAATGGTTGGTGCCATAGATTCGCCACTGCAGGGTGGCCATATTTCTTGTGAAAAAGCTGGATATAACGTCAGGGACGGGTAGTCGCCGGCAAGCCTTCCGAAGGATAACCGCCGAAGGCGAGAATTTTTTGAGTCCTATCAACGGTATTCGATAACAATATTTAGATTTAGTCAAAAATATCAATATTTTTCCGCCAACAAATCCTTGCAACAAAAAATAAATTTCTCCATTTATTACAGTAGGTATTACACAAACATGAACCGACAATTTTTGGTAGAAATCAGGCTATTTTTTAGGTAACCTAAATAATTTCCGAATCTCTGTATGTTAGCAGGTTTGCTAAACGAAATCAAATGCTGGACAAACTTTCAAATTACTGTAGAATGTACAACACAGCAAAATAGTGCACGAATTCTATATCAAAAGAAGTTTCATATAGGATTAAGTTTATTCTGCGTTTCATTTTGGGAAATTGGAAAGTGCCAATGTTCAGGTTCGGTAACCTATTTTTTGCGAGGCGCCTTAAGGCGCGAGGCCGTCGGCGGTCGCCGACGCCTAGCTACGCCACTGCTCTGTTCCAACAGACATGAGAACCGTTTATTTGTCAATTAGAATAAATGTTCAACTTATTAAAAAATAAGTGGGCAACTGGAAATTACTGGTCCTGGAACGGTTCTCATGTCTGTTGGAACAGAGCTAATAGTGGCCATTACGTGCCATTATTACAGTTTCTTGTCTACATGAGATAATATACAGGGTGGGCCAATTTGGACACTTTCTTATGGAAACACCTTTTATTTTTAGAGATAGAAAAAAATGAACCCCCCACTCTGAGGCTCAAATTTTATGAAATTTTTATTGGTGCAAACCGCATTTTGATATCTTAAACCGTTTAGCCGCTAGAGGGCGATTCTCGATTTTGAGCAATAATGTGAAACCATCATAACTTTTTTGTTTATGAAAATTATTGATTTCCATAAAAACTTATTTGAACCATTTTTTCAAGCAGAATTCAGCGAGGCTCTCAGTTTTTTTCTAGTTGGTCCCAACGCTGAGATATTGACCAAAGTCTGTTTTTTTTCAATAGGACAACCGATATAATAATAGCTCATTGGAAAGCTCTGCTTTTTCTGATTTCGATGATATAAAGTTCGATAGGATTATCTCTAATAGTTTTGAGAAAAAAAATTATTTCGGTTTTTTTCATAAGAAGCAATGTGTAAGGAAAGGACTTTATATCTGTAAGGAAACTGAGAAAGGTCTCTTTCCAACACATTGTTTCTTATGACAAAAACCGAAATATTTTTTTTTCTCGAAAATTGTAAGAGATAAACCTATCGGTCAATATCTCGACGTTGGGACCAACTAGAAAAAAACTGAGAACGTCACTGAATTCTGCTTGAAAAAGTGCTTCAAGAAAGTTTTTACGGAAATCAATAATTTCCATAAACAAAAAAGTTATGATGGTTTCACATTATTATTGCTCAGAATCGAGAACCGCCCTCTAGCGGCTAAACGGTTGAAGATATCAAAATGCGGTTTACACCAATCAAAATTTCATTAAATCTAAGCCTCAGAGTGGGGGGTTCATTTTTTTCTATCTCTAAAAATAAAGGGTGTTTCCATAAGAAAGTGTCCAAATTGGCCCACCCTGTACATCTATGTAGTAGTATAGATATAAGGTGCAAGTACTTTTTGAAAAACACAGGCTTCTCAAAATACCTACTTGCAATTACTCTGCCTAATTTTTCCTTGAGAGAAAAACGATCCGCGGCACAGAGATCCGCTACAACATGCCATAGACACTGCGGAATATATCTCACCTAAGGAATCTATATCACCTTCTGATGCTAGCTCTAATTTAATGCTGGTGTTAGTGTAGTTTCAAAACAGATTGGAGAGTGGGTCGTGGAGATATGCAAGGTAAAGCCTAGGATCTTCAAGCAAGATGCAAGCATCTCTCAATCTAGCATAAAATACACACACACACGATGTTTGAAATTGGGTAGATTTCGATATTTTGATCAAAAGTTATCATTGCGCAAAAATGATTCCATGTTCAGCAGAGATATGTTCAGTTTTTGAAAAAATGGGCTTAAAAGATGGTATCGGAAATGCATGTAGTTTTAAGAGGTAGGTGCTCAACGTTATCAATCGATACTGAAATAGCCAAACTGTGGGATAGTGATGTTGACAATCAGTGGTTCGCATCTGCCGAGATATATTTTTTTTTTCCATTTCCAGTTTGAATATTTTATCATCTATCGATAGTGTCGAGCACCTACCTCATCATAAGCTACATGCCTTTCCAATAACATCTTTCAAGCTCATTTACTCAAAAACTGTACATGAAAACATTTTTGCGCAATGATAACTTTTGATCAGAATATCAAAATTCATCAAATGTCAAAAATTCAGCCAATTTGACAAAGAGCCATTCTCCATAAGTCTTGGGCGGGGTCCTTTGCAATAACCCGAGTGTAAAATCAAGAACAGAGCATTATTAACTAATCATCTTTCACAGATTATTACTATATGGGAAAATGGTGACTGAAAGTATCATATTTTTTTTAAATAGGTGCGTGCAAAGCCTAGAGCAACAACTACTCTGAAATAAAACTTCATTTTTCCACTAAACAAATAATATTTATTTAGCAATCATGATTTTCTTAAATTATAAAAAAAAAATGGTTTATTGAGGCCTGCTCTCTGGTCTGCCTCTGCCAAAACCTGCACGGAACTCTAGTTCTCCAGTACCGGCGCCAACATCAGCTTTCTTGTCTGCTCCTGGGGCCGCAGGGTTTCTCCTGTAAAAGAAAAATATTTGTTTATTGTAATATTCATCGATGTATTCAAGACAAAAAGAGTTCACTTTTCATTAGCACAAAACCAAAATTGAATAACATGTTTTTTTGATAACAATAACAGAAATTAAGAATATGATGTTAAAATTAGAGGAACTATTATTCTTTTCAACAATATTTCCTTAAGAAAATGGGACGAGTCCAGGGGCGGACCCATGGGGGGGGGGGGGGGGCAACGCCCCCCCCCAATGTCCACTCCAGTTGGTAAAAAAATGTCTAGTTGGTTTCCAATCCTCACGCCAGTTGGTAAGACCCCCAATGTCCACTCCAGTTGGTAAAAAAATATCTAGTTGGTTTCTAATCCACACGCCAGTTGGTAAGAGAAAACGGCAGTGTTAATACTTCTAAAATTGACTTAAACACGTTCTAAAAAAAGGAATTTTATAAAGTTTTAGATACCCTAATAAGTTTTTTAAACGATAATTTAACTACTATTTTCAAAATTCTGCGCGGATTCACCTGTTTATTCTCATTGGGTACATTCAGGCGTTCCCAGCGGCTAAACTCAGCCACTCAGCAGGGACTTTATTCTTGAAACCGAGGAACAGCGTTCTCATGAGAACGATTGCTCTGTCATTGTCAGTGTTTAGGAAATTTGGATACGGACGATGAACATAGAACCTTCGTTCTCATGAAAATGCTGCTTCCCTGTTTCGATAATAAAGTCCATGCTGAGTGGCTGAACTTAGCCACTGGCACCGCCTGAATGTACCCATTTCCTCTCTCTAGCTAGACCTAATGAACATACATACCTATCTATGACAAATGTCAATTTAGTACTTAATTTATACAGGGTGTTTGGTAGGTCGATGCAAATATTTTGAGATGCGATAGAGTAAGTCATTTAGAACCTATTTAGTCAAACTTACCTTAGTACCAAGTCTTATGGTTTTCAAAATATGGTCGATTTTATCAGTATACAGGTCACCCTCGGGTGATTTTGACACCTTTCTCAATATTCTTGACCAGATTTTGGCTCTTATAGGAATACAACAAAAAATTATATTGGCAGGAGATTTCAATGTCAAATTTTGCACAAATGAAAAAACCTCCAAGGAGCTTATTGATATGCTTCAATCATATGGTCTATCACAAACTGTTTTTGAACCAACAAGAGAACAGAATTGCTTAGATAATGTCTTTATAAACTTCTCAGAAGAAGATTTCCATGCAAGTATAGTAAAACCTGGTACGTCAGATCACAATGGTCAATTAATCACACTAAATTGCACAATGCAAAAACCAACTAACCAGTTTATAAATAAATTGTGTCAGCCTATTACCTGGGAAGGAAAAAATGTTTTTTACAATAAAATTTCGGCAATTGATTTTAGCTTTATAGGTCATCCTTTTTTAACAGCTGAAACAAAATTTGAAACCCTCATGCAGTTGATTGAGTTGGCCTTTAACGAGTCATTCCCTAAAAAAACCTATAGAACAAAAAACAACATAAATTATAACATTACCTGGTTTAATAACAACCTTAGAGACAAAAGGGAATACTTAAATCACTTAAATGATATTTATATTCATCACCCAACTAATGAGCTGAAAGAATATATAAAAGTACAGCGACGAGACTACAAAAAAGCAATTAAAGAAGCAAAAATACAGTGTAATGAAACAAAAATAAGAAATTCAACCAACCCAACCAAGTGCATGTGGGAAGTAATAAACGAACATCGTAAAAAGCCCTCAAAACCATTGGAACAATCACTTAACCTATCTGCACAAGATTTTAACAACTACTTTATTAATGTAGCCGCAGATCTACAAAAACAAATAAAAAATGAAAATATAAATCCGATAGAGAACTTAAAAAACATAGCATTAAATAATAGTCCTTTCTGTTTTAAAGAAGTCTCTTATAACGAGGTCAGGGAGGTTATTGATCAGCTCAAAAACAAAACGAGTAAAGATATATACAATCTAAACATAACATTAATGAAAGGGGTAAAAAATTTAATTCTTATACCTTTAACTAAATTGATTAATCATTGTATTAGGGAGAACATCTTTCCTGACTGTCTTAAAATTGCAAAAGTTGTACCTATATACAAAAAAGGAGATGCCAATGACCCAAGCAACTACAGACCTATTTCTTTACTACCAATTCTATCAAAAATATATGAAAAATGCTTAGCAAAACAAATTTCGAACTACCTTGAACAAAACAACATTCTTAGTCCTGGTCAGTTTGGGTTTAGGGAGGGTAAAAATACAACACTTGCAATTTTGCAACTTGTTGAAAATATCATGGAGGGTTTTGAGAACTCGCAACACACAGTGTCTGTTTTTTGTGACCTGAGCAAAGCTTTCGACTGTGTTTCGCATGACATTCTACTTGACAAACTACCATACTATAAATTTTCACAAGATAGTATACTTCTCATTAAATCATATCTTACAAAACGTCTCCAAACAGTAATTTATAACAACTTAACATCAAATAAACAAGAAGTTACCACTGGCGTTCCGCAGGGGTCAATTATGGGCCCAATCTTGTTTCTTATTTACATTAATGACTTGCCAACAGTGGCTATAAATGAGTTGTACTTTAATTTTGCCGATGACACAACTGGACAAGTACAGGACACAAACTTACAGACAGCTCTAGACATGTCAGGCGAGGCACAGTCGAGGGCTGGGCAATGGTTTGCAATTAACAAGCTTTTTTTAAATGAGGCCAAGACTCAGAAGTACGTATTTTCACTTAAAAAAATTGCGCCCATGGAAGATAATGTAAAATTTTTAGGGGTAACTCTTGATCAAAAACTCTTATGGGATGCCCACACGGAAATAACAACAAAAAAATTGAGTAAAAATGTATTTCTTTTGAGAAGCCTATCACTGTGTGTCTCGTTGAGGACTGTAAAACAGGCCTATTTTTCTTTGTTCCACTCCCACTTAAGTTACGCCTTGCTGGTCTGGGGCCATGCCAGTGGGGCTCAAAATGTTTTTGCTATGCAAAGGCGAGCTGTCAGAGTGGTAGCAGGCTTGAGTTACCGGAAGGAGTGCAAACCAGCCTTTATAAAACACAGAATATTGACATTGCCATCAGAGTTTATTCTGCAAAATCTTGTTTATGTTAAAAACCATCTTAACTTGTATACCAGCTTTATTGATATCCACAACCATAACACAAGAAATAAAAATAATTTAAGACCTAACTATCATAGATTGCAAAGATGTCAAAATGGCCCAGGATACCATGCTGTTAAACTTTTTAATAAACTACCAGAACAGGTAATTAACCTAAGCAACACGTTGTTTAAGAAAAAAGTCAAAGATATGCTGGTTAGTAAAGCCTTCTACTCCCTGGATGAATATTACAACTCCACACTCAGTTGGTCGAATAACAAGATGCATTCTGAGTGATTGCATTTGTTCGGAACTCAAGGAAGGAAATAAAAATAAAAACAATAATCTGTTTATAATCACATCAACTACATGTATTAGTATTTATTTTACAACTGTGCCAAATTTGTCAAATTTGTTTATTTGTCTGTTTGTCTTATATAAATAACTGTTAAACTTTTTAAAACTTATTTGATTGTTTCAAAGTGATGTAATATAGATCTAGATTTGAGTGTTTTATTATTTTAAATTTTTTGTAATATTGATGTACTGATTGATATATATTTTTTTTTGACTTGTGTAAGCACTATGTTTGTGTAATAGCATCAATAAAGAATTTGAATTTGAATTTGAATTTATTTTTTCTTAATCAACTCCTTCGTTTGGTGCTTCAATGCAATATTAGGCAACAACATCACAAAATATCACACAAATAAGCCAGACGTTAACAAACTGTTCACTTATTTCAGTTTAAAAGTGATAATTTTGTTTTTAAAGAGAAGAAAAAAGAGGCTAGGTCCAGGTTTTTCCGTAAATACCTACTTATTTTTGGGAATCTGTAGTCTTAATTAATGATTTTTGTGCTGCAATCCAAAAAAAAAATTGTAATTTTTTCGTGATATGTGCAATTCGAAAAGGCACATGTGAAAATACTTATTTTGCTAATAGGTGCGTAGTTTTCCTTGTACTTTATTTTTTAAATTTTCACAAAATGGGATAAAATTTTGTATACATCACCTGAGTTAAAATGTTTATTCGTTCATTAACCCACTCGCTGGGGCTCGTGGGTTAACCTTTTTTCTCATAAATAAACATTTATTTAACTCTCTTGGTGTACCTATAAATAACTATGAAAACGTTGGTTGTCTTTATCGTATTTTTTTTCAAAAAAAAAGCTTAACTTGCAATGGAATTAGCACTCTTAGTATTAATTTTTTATGTATTTTATTGTTAATGCATTTGACCCAAGAAATACACATTCTATTAAGATACAAAACAAAAATAATCGAGAAAGCATTTCTCAATATCGCATTAAAGCACTCAATGAAGGATTTCTGAGATTTTTTTAGGAAAAAATTAAATCGGCCATATTTTGAAAACCATAGGACTTGGTACTAAAGTAAGTTTGACTAAATAGGTTCGAAATGATTTACTCTTTCAGCTCCAAAATATATGCATCGACCTACCAAACATCCTGTATATATCCTCAAAATTTTAGACCAGCTGCATACGCTCTTGCAACAGAGATTGAAATTCTCTTTGACCTATGTAATAAACATACCAAAACTATTGATAATATCCAACAAGTAGTAAAAGTAGCATTAAAAAATATAAATTCACTCAAGAAAGCATTTCAAGTATGCCAACTCTACTTTACTGCAGGATATTCAAGGTGAGTTCGACTTGGCAACTGTTTTGACTCCTTTGACACTTTTTACTGCAAAATCGTTCGGGTCAGGAGTCAGGCCACTGGGAGCAAATAGTGCAAGCTTCTCATCGTTCGGGTACAGCCAAGTAAAGTGAAAAGAGATAACTCCAGAAGCACCACCTCGAGAGATGAAGTTCGAGGAGCGGGCATGCGCATTTCCTTTATTTCCAAAAGGCGGTAAAATTTAAGTTTTTAATAATTCACTATGCTAACGATCCTACCGAAAAGAATTCAAAGAAGATATTTTATGCTTAGGGCTTGGTCACCTCCTGGGGTCCTGGTCGAAAAAATGGCATCGCTCCCCCTAAATATCCGCAAAAACACATGTTCGGTTTGTGATGGGGATAAGCGCCCGCGGCTCGCCTTGCTTCTGATCCGTTCGACAAAATCACTTTACTCTTTTCACTCTGTGATCATGTGGCTATGGAACAGCTCTCTATCTGTTTTAACTCCGTTTTGCCAAGCCGAACTCACCTTGAGTAGCAACCAATGAGCGAAAATTCAGCTAAGTAAAATTCGTAAAAAATTACTCACGTACAACTATGGGAGAAGAAAGACTAGTGGCCGTTTCACCAACTATTTTAGGGGAGCCTTAACGATAAGCATTCCTTAAAATGACAGTCTTCCATGTAGAAATGTCAGTTTGAGGAATACTTAACCTTAGGGCTCCCCCAAATTAGTTGGTGGAAACGGCCAAGATCACCTAATGTCCCTCAAAAGTGAGAAGGACTTGGCCGACTCTATGGACTATATAAAAAATAGAAAAATACGTATGGTCACGGAAGAAAAATAAGTTAGGTACCTAGTAGAGCTTCAATCTGAATGGAATTTGTTACTGCATCTACATATTTAAATATAACATTCCTACTAATCTAATTTTTTTTTAAATCGATATCGGCAAATTAATCATAAGTTAATTATACGTTTTCTGTTTTTTATGCATTCTATAAAAGTTGATGAATTACCCACAAATAAATTACCTACCCCAAACTTTTTTTTGTGCTTTTTTAAAGTGGGTTGGGAGTTGGCTCATTATGACGTAACGGCCCCCCCAATACCAAAGCCTTCGGAACGCCCCTGGACGAGTCCAAAAATGAAACAAAAAATAGGGCTCGCCTAGTGATGGAAAATTTCCGAAACATTCAAAAGCCCCGAACATTCTCGGAAATTTTCCAGGAATATTGGAAACTTTCGAGAACTTATGGAAATATTGTTTTTTTTCTTTAATTTATAGAAATCAGACGGATCGTAGTAAGCTTTATGTACCTATTATTGTAGTGTACTGACTATAGACTATTAACCAAGAAAAACACCTATTTTTTTCTGTAAGATCAGCTAAAAATTGAACTATTTAGTAAAAACACTTTTATGGACTGTTGAATCAGGCTTTAAAGGAAAAGCTGATCCGATTAACCCAATCTCTCAGCTCTTTATTTTTTTATCTCTCTTTATTGAAATTTTTTAAAAAAAAAGACTGTAAGTACATCAGCTTGTGATCGGGTAAATCGGATCAGCGTTTCCGTAAAGACAGTTAGACTGGGCTACGTCATCCACATAAATTGAAATGACGTCACTGAGACCTTGTATTCGCAACAATCTTGCATTTCTATAAAACACTTCTGGGAAGTTCTTGGAAATATTCTCGAAAGTTCTCGGAAATATTCTTTTGAGAGTTTTGATTGAAAGTTTCCAGGAATATTCTCATTCAGAAGAATGTTTCCATTTTTTAACGGCGAATATTCTCGGAAATTTCCCAATGTTTGCGAATATTCGAATGGGAATATTCTCTACTCACATCACTATGTATAGGCAGGTGTATAGGTACAATAAGAATAGATAAATTGTATGAAGTATGTAATTCAGGGTTGGTAACCAGCTTGTATTATAATAGTGAATAGAGAACTGGATTTTTGATGGATATTATCTGGGATTTGGATCTACATTCTTATGTATTATGATCCAAGATGTGTGGCTTTTTTTCCGCTGTTAAACATTTGGTAAGATTTTTGTGTTAATTTATATAGAAATATCAATGCAAAAACCAAAGTGGAGACAATAATTGTTTGCAAACTCTGAAGTAATTATGTAGAAAAGTAAAATACTTACATAACATAACAAATGGAATACAAAGGAACAATAATATTCTCAAATATCAACTTTCATTACATTCAGAATTAACAATTTACATACCTGTATCCAGTCCTGTCTTCTGCCCCCTTGAAGCCACCTTCGGACCTTCCAACAGCCGCAGGTCTGGGACGAGCAGCCTCTGTCCTGGCTTGTCTCTTAAGAGTGGATGGGACAATTTCAGCGGGAAGGTGCAAGAATGTTCTGAGATATTCAATACCTGTGTTGGTGAGGTACCTACAAAATATATTTTGGTAAAGAAAAATACCTATTTTTCAAATGATTCCAATTCTTACCAGTAGTAATGCCTCCACGCGAATTGTTCCTTAACGTAACCTTTCGATTTTAAAGATTGCAGGGCCTTGATTACTTGTAAATTGGGAATATTCTCTAATTCACCGTGTTTGGGGGCATGGTAGTCTTTTTTGGCTACCATAACACCTTCCTTGAAAAGGTATTCAAAGATAGCGATTCTGTTCTTTTTTGGCATCAACATCCTAGAAAAATATACAAAAAAACTTTAGTACTTTGAATTTAGGAGAAATGTGTAGGTTAGAAAAACATCCCAGGATTATTTAGGTTTTTTTTACAAATCCTGGGAATTTTCGTAAACAATATTGACACCCCCCGAAACTAGAAAGACCACTGATTATTTAGATACATTTATTCGAGAAAAATATATAAAGATTACTAAAATAAAATTAAATATAAAAAAAACTCACTTGGAAAACCTATTTACACGGCTGTCAAAAACCGAAAAGGAATTTTTGTTTTGTTGATGGTTGGTGTTGACAAATGACAGATGACAGTTGAAAGCGCTTCTCCTGTCTTTCAGCTTTGACCGCTGTGTCTCCATGGCGTTTTCCATTTGTCGTCTCAGTGCGCAAGAGAATTTTTCTGGTGCAGGGCCGAGTTCAGAAATAACGCACAGGGTGCGAGTGCGATTTAATGGGTGTGCCTGAATTGACAATTGGCCATTGGGCCCATAGCACCGTCTAGCATTTTTGAACAGCTAGGGCGTCGCACCGGCGTCACACTCACACTGGGTGTGTCATTCCTGAACTCGCCCCTATCAAAAACGCACACCAGTACAGTATTCTTGTACAGACCGTGCGTTCGGTATTTTGATCTGAGTTCTCCGAGCTTCAATTTACCGTTCGTTGTTTATTAAAATTTCAGGCACTCGGACACAGCGTTCAACTGCTCTGTTCGCTCGCTGGTCCCGTGATTACGGCTCCGCTCAGCACGCTCTGCTCTTTGAGCAAAATACCGAACGCAAGGTTAGTTACTTGGATTAGGGAGGGGAGAGGATACCGCGCACTGGTTTAACGCAATGCTAGGCTTTTGTTACATCAATTGACCGGCCGCCATTTTATTTGTGGCAAACAAGCTTCTGTGGCAGTGTTGATATTTTGTGATTTTAATGACTAAAAAGTTTTAATATTTGACTAAATTTTGTGCTAATAGACATGGTGAATTGTGACAGATTTTATACATGCCCTATAAGTATCATGTGTGTAAGCAAATTACGGGCCTAGATAGAATTCCCTATTTTAAATGATTCGATTGAAAAATCAATAATTTTGTTAATTCGATCTGTCAAAGCCTTTGAATCTACCAGTGGCGTAGACCATTTAAATACTAGATTTTAATTTAAAAAAGTCCTGAAAACTAATTAAGAGCGAATAAACTGATTATTTCCTAATTTACGCCCCCCAAAATACGTATATCCTGAAAAAATCGTAAATTTTGGCGTGGTGATCAACCATTTAAACATTTACCGTTTTAACTATGTATTATTTTGTGATACGCCACTGGCCTAAACGGTCTTGGGCCAGCCGGTAACACGCAGGCTTGACGGATTACCAGGAGTGTGTTCACAGACGGCAATGCTAATGCCAAAACCTACTTTTCCCCTTCTACTGGCGATGCCAAATCTGGTGTGAATTTGCTGGAACGCCAAATACCGTTTCTCAATTAGGCAATCCAAACCACGTGACATTCGAGATGGTGTGGCGACCACACATGGACCAAAAACACAAGAAAATATCTAGTTTCTGCCCGACTTAGTAGTTTACGTACCTAGTTAACAAATATTTTATTGAATAATCAAAATCAAATCTGCAAACAAACAGAATGATTGAAATATGCATGGAAACTTATATTCAAAACCAACTTGCTGGCCGCCACGCCATATTGAATTTGATCTCATCCAATCAAAATTCGTATAACCATTTCTAGACTCAGTTGAAAGAGCCTCCAAAAGTTACTTTACCGCGGCCGATTTGGAACGTGTAAAGCCAACCGTTTTTGGTACGCTGGAGCCGAACTTGAACGCAATATGCCAATTTTGGCTCGGCTTTAGCCATTTTTGAACGCAGCCCGGTCCTCTCTCTTTTCTTGTCTAAGGTTAGTTATCTCAGTGGAAAATCGGCTTAGCAGAGGGGCAAGGGGGAAGTCAAATTCTAACTTTAGCAACTTAACAAATCGTACGCGTGACCTAGTTAGATTCTTTAAGTTAGGTGAGAAAAGTACTAGTTCGTATAAGCAGGTATTATCTGCCATAATCTGAAATATTACAGTTCAGTGCAAGTTAGCACGACACAAACAAACAAACCTTTTAAGTTGTATTCCTTTCAAGAGTTTAAAACACTAGAGCCGCTTTCCAGTATGCACATTGGCGCGCTCCAGAGCACCTCGGGGGCGCCACGCACTAGATTTGTACCGTTCCAGTATCATGGCGTGAGACGCCTGTCTTAGTGTCAAATATGTCAAATTTTAAAAATAATTATCTATTTGTTTGTGCAGTTTGTTTTTTTATTTATCAAAAATGAAAGAGAATCAAAACTATATATTTTAAAATGTTCAATCTTGAGATATAATAAAAAATAAATAGATAAATAGCCACCCACAGATGTGACAGCTGATAGGTTGACGCGTACGTACAGTTCGGGGGCTCCACGCCCCGAGTAGCTCCGGGCTTCACACTCCCATACTGGAAAGCGGCTCATGGCTACTCGCTCCAGAGTCCTGTGTTAGTCAACACCGATTTGAAAGGAACAGATGCGCTGGCTTTCAATGCTTCATGCATTTAAATAGTTTGATTCGGGCTTGAGAACCAAGGTGTAACCAATGGGTGTAACGTGTAACAAATACTTTTCGAAAGGAATAAGCGCGAAACGACCCGGAGCTTTTCCGGAGCTCCTCCTAGGTGTGAAAGGAATACAACCACAGAATACAACTATAGTTGTATTCCTCCTAGGTGTGAAAGTTTCACACCTAAGAGGAGCTCCGGAACAGCTCCGGGGCGTTACGCGCTTATTCCTTTCGAAAAGTGTTTGTTGCACCTGATTGCTCAAGTCCGATTCAAACTCAACCTTTTGAATATAAAACAACAGGAAGGAGCATAACCTCGAATCTGCGTGACCAGAATATGTGTAGGTTGCATATGGCCCACTAGTAGTGTTTCCGGTTTTGCAGTGGCGTATATTTATTTAAATATGATTGTCAATATTATAACTCACTCTTTTCGCACAAATCCTAGTACTTATTATCACTTAAAACCGCTAAAATCCATTAAACATCCACTAGAATGAGGACACAGCGAACCACCAAAACAAATGATGAGTCATACTTGGAGGCTCAACATGGCCGTTTCCGTCTCTTTGTTATCTGAAGTTGAAGAAAACACTCCTTCCTGTAGTTTTATATTCAAGATTCAAACCATTTAAATGCATAAAAGCCAGCGCATCTGTTCCTTTCAAATCGGGGTCGACTGACACCGGAGCGAGTAGCTCTAGTGTTTCAAGCTCTTGAAAGGTGCTCTCGAAATGTTCTGGATGTTCTGTATGAAATAGCACTGGAACTGTAATAACTTGTGATGTCTGACAAAGAACAAAATTAATAGAAATCAGCATTTTATTGAGAAATAAAGCAATTATAATCAATAAAGTTCCCAAAAAACACTCTGTTTTTGTATTCGAAGGTGTTTAGAGCCGAATTTATAGTCGCTCCTTGAGGCTTCCTCAGACCTTGAGAAAGCCTTGAACGTTTAGAATTGACATAATTAACTTGTCAGATAGTAGCAAGTATCTATTCTAAACTCACGACCTCCAAGGAAGAGTCAAGGAACGACTACAAATTTGGCCCTTAAGCCGGGCTCAGACGACTCGTGTACTTGGCGAATACACAATTATTCGCGTACTTGGCAAGTATACTAGCTTTGCGAATTACGATGGCAAGCAGGGCGCTCACACGACGTGTTCAATTCACAAGTACACGACCGCGAACATTTGGCTAAACCTTGATGCTCGTCGAAAACTAAATGAAATAGTCGCAGTAAAAGCCAATTATTTGTGCATTTCGTTTGAGCGCCTCTACAAGTATAGACAAGTATGAACTTGGCAAGTGTACGAATAATCGTGATCCCTTTGACTCGGGACATTTTTACCGACAAGAAATGGAAAACCAACGAGTGACAAATAATTGTACAAGTAACCCACTCACACGACATGGCAAGTATACGCAAGTAATGATTATTCGTCAAGTACACGAGTCGTTTGAGCCCGGCTTTAGAGGCTGTAGCATGAAACCGAGATTAAAAAAGGTGTGTTAAGCCTAGTACTCATAGCTGCGAAATTCGCATTTTTTCGCATTGCTTCGACAAATTCCTCAAATTGTCGAAGCAATGTCAAAAAAGTGCGAATTTCGCAGTTATGAGTACTAGGCTTTACAACTACAAGTAAAATTCTAGTGTAAGATACTCTAGTCCTGGAACAATGCGAAATAATTCTAGAGTACTCTCGAAATGGTTTGGAGTAGCTCGTTAGCGTCATAAGCTTTGTTTTGGTTTCACTCAGAACTAGTTCGGAATCATTCTGCACATGCGCATATTATAAAATGCGTTTTGTTTTTTTCAGAATCGTAATCGAACTATGTTGAGAGTGTTTTGGTTTATCTAGAACTTTTTGAGAACAATTCTGGGATTGTTCTAGAACGGTTCTCTCAGTTCTTGCTCCGAAGGAGGAATTGTTTTAAGAACTTTGTGTTTTGGTTTTTTTGGTTCCGAATCGGTTCAGAACTAGTATTAGAACAGTCCTCTATAATTTTTTGTGCGCAAGCAGTTCTGCGCAATCCTAGAACCGTTCCAAATTTCGAACCAAAACAAAGCTATAGATAATCTCAATAGCTTTGTTTTGGTTCGAAGTTTGGAACGGTTCTGGGATTGCACAGAACTGCTTGCGTACAAAAAATAATAGAGGACTGTTCTAATACTAGTTCTGAACCGATTCGGAACCAAAAAAACCAAAACACAACATTTTTAAACAGTTCCTCCTTCAGAGCAAGAACTGAGAGAACCGTTCTAGAACAATCCCAGAATTGTTCTTAAAAAATTCTAGATAAACCAAAACACTGTCAACACAGTTTAATTACGATTCTGAAAAAAACAACTAGTTCTGAGTTCTGAGTGAAACCAAAACAAAGTTAATATCGATACTAATCCACTCAAATCACAAACTTGCACAAACCTAACTAATCAGCTAATACATTGATTGTGTAGAGGTTCAATTTAAGTGAAAATTCAATTTCCCTTTTAGAATGCTGCGATGCTCAAAATCTCAAAAAATATCGATATTGGTATCGATCCAGAGGGAACACTGCTCCCCTGTTTCAAAGGATACTGGAGGATTTCATTTACTTGTTTTGACTTCCGACCCGAATGCAAGAAAATTCTACACATATCTACACTTTGATAAAACTGAAAAGATTGAGCTGGAAAAACTATATTGGTAAATTGTCCGGATAGAAAGTATATCGATACGAGCAAAT